ATGGCTGCCTTGTCTGAATACCAAGCTTCCAGGAATTCCCTCCCTCCCTCCCTGGTTAAGTCTGTCCATGTGTTGTGAGATTGTGACTTTTTATTGTGTCTTCTGACTGCTAGTTGGTGTTCATGGCTTTTGAGGGCTGCTGTGTCCTAAGGAAGGATCAAACCATCATCATCCTCCCAGCAGACAAAGGCTGAACCACAGGTATAATGGATAAATCACAATACTTCCAAAAAGCCAAAAAATTATTAGAGGACAAAGAAACCTACACCCCAGTTAATACCAACCCAATACAGAAACTAGACAACCTAACCAAGAAAGGCCAGATCACAGAAGAACAGTGGTGGACAAAAATCAATGGACCCATCCTCCCACGTTTCTATGGTCAGCCAAAAATACACAAGCCTGACATACTGCTTCTACCAATTGTATCTTCACTATGGACAAGACAGCAAAAGAACTGACAAAAAAGCTTGGACATCTCACAGAGAAGAGTGAATATTCTATCAACTCCTCACTACAGTGCCTCCAGAAAATCAAAGTTGTATGCATAGATGAAGATGAAATTATGGTCTCACTTGATGGCACAGCAATCTTTACATCCATAAACCCAGAACTAGTGAAAGAATCCATATCAGCAATACTACACAACATACCCTACCTAACCAAATACACCCAGATCGAAATACCCAGAATCATGGACCTCTGTCTCACTATCTATTTTAAGTTTGATGGACAAATATACCAACAAATCAGAGGCACACCCATGGGATCACCACTATCAGGACTCATAGCAGAGACTGTAATGAAACTATAGCACTTCCACACATACAACCTAAAGAATGGATCCGGTAGGTAGATGACAACTTTGTTATAATAAAAAAGGAACAACTAGAGAAGACACATGAAACTATCAACAACCTCTGCAAAAGAGTAAAATTCACCAGAGAGGAAGAAAACAACAACATGCTACCCTTACTGGATATCCTCATCAGCAGAGGAAATAACAGCAAATTAGAAACCCAAGTCTATCGGAAGACAACCCACACCAATCAAGTACTCCATTACCAAAGTAACAACCAAGCCTGCAGAGGAAATAACAGCAAATTAGAAACCCAAGTCTATCGGAAGACAACCCACACCAATCAAGTACTCCATTACCAAAGTAACAACCAAGCCTCCCACAAGAGAAGCTGTGTAAGAACATTATTCAAATGAGCACAAATGCATTGCAGCAACCCAGAACAGCAGAAAAAGGAAACAGACCACCTATACAACATCTTCCAGCAAAATGGATATCCACGCAACTTTATCAAAAACTGCCTGACCACTCAACCTATACTACACCACAACCTGCACAAGCTATGAAAAGGATCACACTGCCATACATCAGAAACCATCAACAGACTATTACAACCACATAGCTTCTCCATAGCACACAAACCAACTAAAGCCCTCCAAGACATCTTAAGCAAACCAAAAGACCCAGTAGACCAAGAAGAAAAAACAGGAG